TGCAATCTTCCACAGTCATTCCTAAAAGGTGGTTTTAGTAGGTTCAAATCTTACTTTGTGGCTTTTTATGGTTTCCATATACAGCCAAAAAATAAAAAAAAACCGATATTGAAGGGAATTACAAGACCTTACATAGGCTTACATAGAAGCAGTATTGCAATATCAATCGTCGTGTAAATTGTTATTGATAAAGAATGTCATTTGGAAAACTAATTCGTGAAAAGACTAGGTTGTTGTGGATTACTTATTAAATGTCGATTTAGAATACATATAAAAAAAAACAAAAAAAATTAATATTCTCTAGTTATTAATTTAAACTAAATCTTTACGATGATCGAGCTTATATAGTGGGATTTAAATTCTGAATTTAATCTTGTAAATATTCGTAACGTTCAGTTGGTCTTCCTTGACGTTCACATATACACTGGCCACACTTTCACTTTCGTATAATTAATTCTGATTAACCACCGAATATAACAACATTTCGTTTAAAAATATATAATATATTCAAAAACCAACTTGGATGTTGTAAAGGAATGAAGACAATATTATCACTTGGCTGTCACTTAATAAAAATATTCCTACTAAATACGTTCAGTTTACGTTCAGTTCCTGAAAAAGTTTTCAAGTATTCTCTTTTGGATAAAGTGTTTGTAAAAACATTAGGTATAGAATCGAAGTTTATATTAGAATAAATAGTTTGACTATTACTAAGTATTCAACATTCAGCCTGAGAACTGATGTATCAAATAGCTAGTAACTGGTTATGCAATTCACGACGACCTTAGATATGCCTGTCTTTATACACTTAGTAAGTCACTTGATTTGTTTCCATTAAGTTTCGGCCACTCTAACCAAGACTTCAGACAAGTCTTTTCATTTAACCAGAACGAATTAGTTTTCAAATTACTGTCTTTTCTAATACTAATTTACAAGTGACCATACTTATTCCAATTCTACCTCTATGTAAACCTAAATTACAAGATTAATAACTAGTTCATCGGTCTTGCAATTCAATATTGTTACAGCTCGGGGTTCACATTACGCGTAAACGGAAAATAGTGTCAATATTTCTTAGAACCACCAAGTAATCCTGAGAAATTTTTGACTATAACACCACCGATATTTTTAATTTGATGTACCACATTTGATGGCCTTCTGAGTACATATTAATTGTTGCTTTATTTGCCGCTACATGCTTAATTGTACAGCTACTTCTCTGATTGCAAAAACTTCTACCTGTTAAGCAGGTAGTCCGGGAAAGGAACACACAATTTGAGTTCTAAATCTTTTCATTAATATTGTTTACTTCTTTATATTTTAATTTATTGATGAGGTGGATAATATTGTAATTTAGCTATATATTATAAAAGTTTATATAACTTCCAATTAATCTGTGTCTTTCGTTGAAGCTTAAAAGTTTCTTCTTAATTTTTCTTCGTGATTTCTTTTTAGTAGGTTGTATTAGATTAGATTTAGAAAAGGATTGGGTACTATGTCACCATGTCACTGCATATTTTGTGAATTATGCTGACAAACTCACTTTAGTTCCATAGCATTTAGCGTAGCAGTTAAAATGTCATTATATCCCTTGGAGAGATACTGTCTACAACCGTTATAAGTAAATAAGCCGTTGATAAGTACCCAAGACTGTGTCTGGCTAGACTCTCACAGTGACGAAGAATATGTTCTGCTATTTTCTCTTCTTCTTACCTAGGTTCGATAGACACTTTTTTATCTCCGCAATGTCGAGTGAGAAATTCTATAACAAGTCGGATACCCTTTCTGTACAGCATGGGTAGCTAGCTCCCTCGTTCTGGGTTTTAAGCGATTTAGTATGAGTTCTTTAGCTTGTTCGCAGGCAGTTATATTAACCCAATTAGTCTGCGCTGCTTCATTGAGACATTCAATAATTTTAAGTTTAAGGAAGCTTAAGTCTTGACCCAATATAGGTTGTACTACAAACATAATCTAAATTTTAATATGTCTTTATTACAAATTGATTTAGATTTTAAGTAAAATTTAATAATTTTTGTAAGTGCTGTATGAATTTTTGAATCAACAAATAATAAAAATATAATTAATTTATTTTATTTCTTTTTATGTGGACTAATTAATTTAATTAATTTTAAAAACTATATTTTATGCTACCAAATATATATATAGTTATATTCAGGATACAATTAATTTAATAGTTGCATTTTTATAAATTTTACTAAGTAGATTTAAACTAGAAATTCAATGAACTTGAATTTGAAATTTTGATTTGAATTTGAATTGAAATTTTCTCTTAAATACATATCTTTTCATTAATAATTTCGCAGTAATAAATTTTCGGAATAAATCAAGAGTACCGAAAGCTTTTTACTCTTCATATACATTTATAAATATTAAAGAGCAATATTTCTTATAATAATAATAATAATAATATAGTATTCAGCTAGTTGCTAGTAAGAGTTTATTCACAAATACTCTTTCTTACAGTAAGTGAAAATAGTGTTTAGGATAATTTCATATGTGCAATGTTCCACAAAGTGTGGATTGTATTTGTTACGAGCAATTTATAAAGGAATTTATTCTCTCTTTATATGCTGTTGCATATCATATACAAAATTTAATTTTGTGGATTCGTTTTACTGCGCTCGTATAACAAAATCGTATGCTGTTCGTCTCAGGAAAAACTGACCGGAAAAATCATTAAGAAATGCTGTGTGAATATTTGCTCTTAATTTCTGTTCTGTGTGGAACGCAATTTGCAATTTTACTGTGGTTGCTTCGCAGCACGAACAGCTTGAAGAAGTTTCGTAGAATACATATGGAAAATACGCACGTTATAGTAGCCGAAGGAAAAAGGCATGGCAGGGCATGGCAGGGCATGGCAAGGCATGGCAAGGCATGTTGGCCAAATATTTTGTTTTCCAATTCAGTTAAGATGTGCAATTCAAACGGTGCGTACGTGTGTCGGCGCGTGTGTATACTTTTTAATACTTTTTTAAAATTTGAAAAACTTTTGATGTCTACACTTGTGGCAAATATTTCTAACTAATATTGCGGACAAAAATTAAAAAAAAAAAAAAATTCCACAAATTGTTTATAAAAGTATCGAGAAAAAAAAGATTTAAAAATTATATTGAATTTGCAATAAATAAAATAAATAAATATTGGGTATGTGGCGAAGAATTCTACAGCTGTCGAATGATTTAATGAAGTGTAAATAAACAAAAAAAAAATATATATATCATATATATATATATATATATATATGTATTGTTCATTGGAGGAAATGCTTTGTTGTTGTGGTTGTGTGTAGTAGCCACAGCAGCGACTTTGATAAGAAATTTAATGGCATTTTTCATTTTTCCGGCACTGTTTATAAAATAAATTTTATTAATAAATTTGTGCTTTAAAGGATTTTTTAGAACTTCTTATTAAAAAAAAAAAAAAAATTATTTAAAAAAAAATTTGGCGTTCGTTTTTTTGTTTTTTCGTAAAAATAAATAGAAATAGCGGTTTCAGCGCGAAATTTTAGAGTTAGGAAGAAATTGCAACACATTAGTTCCTCTTCCCGCAAACGTGCAACTTCCAGACACCATTCCATCATTCATCCTATGCGCGCCATAAATCTGATTTGAATTATGTCTAAAAACAACGCCGAGGAGCAGAAGACGTCTTGCTTCTAGATTTGTGTGCGTTCCACATATTTCATATCTGCCAACTGCTTAGTGCCACACTGACGTAAATAAGCGGGCAAGCCAGCACTGATGTGCTCTGCGATGAAATGAATCTGCCAAGGTTGCAGTGAATTGAGGCATATGAAGTGTGCCAGCGACTAATGAATCTGAATCTGCTCAGCACTATTTTTTAGATATATGTTGCTTTCTACACGGCTGTTGTCTTCACATCAAAATTACTTAACAAACAAATAGAATAGAAAAAAAAACCATTATTAGCAGATACTCTCTACTACTGAAACTCGCTTCTGCCTAAAATTAACAGTCGAAAAAATTTCACACTTTTTAAGATTGAAGAAAAAATTACAGATTTGCTGTCTTCATTTATGGCGCGAAAAATGCATCTCTAGACTTCTATGGAAAAAAAATTCCCAACACGGGCCATGCCATGAAAATATTTTCCGTAAGAAAATAGAAAAAAAAAACAAAATAAATAAACAAAACTATAATGTAAACAAAAAAAAAAACAAAAATTGCTTACAAGTTCGGTATTAAACGGGTAAAAATTGTCTTAAATATAATAATTATTATAATAAGTAATTAAGAAAATATTTAGCATTAAATTAGTTTAATAAATAAACAAAAAAAAGTGCACAAGTTCGCATAAAACGGGTAGCGGAACATTTTTTTGTTATTAAAATATAAAATAAAATAAAATTTTATATATATTATTCATATATAATAATAATATAAATAAAATTAGTGTGTATATTTAAGTAATAACGTTTAAAAAACTTTTATTATTAAATTAATTCATGAATTCAGTAGTTACAGAGTAATATAGATAATATAAAATAGTTTTAAAAAAATAAATTAAAAACAATCTAGACAATATTTATTATTGTAAAAAATTGTGTAAATAGCAGAAATGGGTTTTTCCATATAGAAAAACAAAATTTAATAAAATATTAAAGCATTAAAAAACTTAATTTTTAGTGCTTATAAACAAACTACAACTATAAGCTGAGAAATTTTATTTAATTTATTTTTAATTATAACTGAATTTAATGAAATTAAACTATTTGAACATATAAAGTCAAAATAATCAAATATTAAAATTAAATTATAAAATAAAGTGAGAATTCGAAAAAACTGCATTAAAACTAAACGGTTTAAAAATTATTATTAATATATAATATAAAATAAATTTAAAATAATTTATATTATTTGAAATTTGAAATAATTTATATTACTCGTTATAATAAAATTATAATAAAATTATTGTAAAAATAATAACATCAAAGTTTTGCCTGAAATGCTCGAGTAGAGTTAAGAATTGCAATAAAATTATATAGAAAAAGAAATTAAGGAATCGGGACCAAATAGATTGCACGGAATTGTCCATTAAAATGCAGTACATTTAAAGAGAGATGCAAATACTATAAGAATAGAAGAATACTTTAAAGAAAACCGCAATAGAAAGGCAATAAAATAATAAGAACTGCAAGAAACTGCAGCATCAGCGCACAAAAAATAAATAAATAAATAAATAAATAATATACAAAAAAACAAATTTATATCAACAACTTCATAATCATTAATTGTAGAACGATAATCACTAAACAAAAATAATAAAATTGAGAAACAAAAACAAATAGACAAAACAAAACAAAAACATTACAAAGTAAAACCAAAACAAATCACAAAGGAAGAAACCGATTACCCACCCAACACTAAAATCAATCGCTTTGCTCAGTTATTACAAAATATTTCACTAATTGCCAACAAATTACCCATAAATTTATTGTTTTTACAATAATAAACGCAGCGAACAGCGAGCGGCGAGTAGCGAGTAGCAAGTAGGAAGCAGTGAGCAGGGAGTAGGAAGCATATCGTTCATCAAAAATGGATTACAGCCAATTGGATGCGAATATTAATAGTAATCTGAATACAGGCAACATTTCCACACATGACTTTCTAGCAATATTCTCATCGACAAGTCCAACTGATGTCGCTGGTGGTGGTCCAGGCGGAGGAAATACCACGTCGTCCGGCAGCATACTATCAACGAAACTGCATACGAATGCTAGTCACATAGCGAGCACTGGTGCCAGTAATGTAACGCTCAATCCGCCCTTACTTACCGTTGACGGTCAATACACAGTCGCCAATATACTTGAGAGCTCATTGGCGGGCATTGCCACCACGTTGAATCCCAATTATATAAATGACAGTCTCTTCTACTTAAATAGTAATTTTTTCAATAGCAGCACAAGCACAAGCTATGGCGGCTATGGCATTGGCGGCAGTAGCATCAATTTCTCGAGCGGCAATTATTACAATCAAACATTTGCGAATAGCACCGGTAATATCACCGAGATACAGTGGAATGGGCGCTATCCCAGCGGCTATACGTTAACACACATTGTGATTGCCTCAATTATAGTTACATTTCTAATGATAATCATTGTTGTGGGCAATATGTTGGTTATCATTGCGATTGTGACCGAGAAATCATTGAAGAATATACAAAATTGGTTTATCGCCTCATTAGCGGTGGCGGATTTTTTTCTCGGTCTAATTATTATGCCATTCTCGCTGGCGAATGAATTGATGGGCTATTGGATATTCGGCAGTTGGTGGTGCGATATACATTCGGCTATGGATGTGCTATTGTGCACGGCTTCCATTATGAATTTATGTCTAATATCGTTGGATCGTTATTGGAGCATAACAAAGGCAGTTGATTATTTGAAATCGCGTACGCCCGCACGTGCTGCGGTTATGATAGCTGCTGTTTGGATAATGTCAGCTTTAATTTGCATTCCGCCATTGCTGGGCTGGAAGGTGAAGATGCCGGAGGGTCCGCTGCCAAAGTGCGAGGTAAGTGTATACACTTTAGTGCTACAATTTTATGAATTTTTCTACGTAATTCGATGCCAATTACGTGCATTGAATTCAGTTTTTCCTCCTCTTCTGCTGCTGCTTACACTAATTGGCGGCTTATTACATTTCCTGTTTGGATGGCAAATAATTGCTAATTTTTTGTAAATTACTGGAAGAGAACTCCATCGTCGCTAATTGTTATCACATTGCTTTGTGAGTAATAAGCGATGATGCTATCTTTAAGTAGCTCACAATTAAAAGTAATGTCGTCATGACGATTTTTTATTTTATTACAAAGCCGTAGACGTCAGTACTTATGTTTGTGAATTTCACAAAAGATAAGAGATTATTACCTTAAAAAAATTTTTTAATTTTGTAAAACAAATATTACACGAAAAGAGAGAATTCTTCTTAGGTAATAACGGTAATAATGAAAATAATTAATAGTAAATAAATTTCACCATAAAATGTATGATAAAAATTACTAATTAAAAACAATTTCGGGTTGTATGATTACAAGCTTCGAATACTAGGACTTAGGATACTAATAACAAAAATTATAAATTAAAAATAATTGTTGACGTGTCTTTTTAATTGTTTGATGATTACTATGACGATAGCTGCTTTTCAGTAAACAATGATCTCTTCAACTAATTTGAGGAATAAAAAAGCGGTGAACTACACTCAGAGAAATATACTCTAACCACATACTAGTTAAATTGAGCTGATCATTTTGTTAGAAAAATTTTAGCTCATGTGATTAGGAAGATATGAGAACCAACATGTGGTACGGTTGAACCAACATAAGGCAACGAGTAAGAATATTTTAAGCTAAAATTTAATTAAAATTTGGTTAATTCAAACAAATTATTTTTCTGAATGTAGAAATTGATTTCTTGTCACTTTTACTTATTTGACTTTTGTAGCTCTATCTGTTTAGCCACTGGTGGCTTAGGTTGCTGTCTCTTATCTTCTTGATGTTTCGTTTATAATTGTTAAATCTGGGTTATGTTAACATCAGTCGTATATTATTAGGCTGCGAAGATCTTTGTGTCTCTCTGATTTGCTGAAATGCAGTTTATTAAAAAGAAATCATGTTTAGTTTTAAAATGCGAGTTCAGATATTCTAACACTCCAAAAATATTTTCTTTCTAAATTTTGTGGATATTTGTATTAAATAGTTAGGGATTATTTTCACTCTTTACTGAGATTAATGAGAACAAGATGAGAGAGAGGAAATTGTCGTTACTTGGCACTCACTAGATGGTCTTCTTTAGATTTTAGAGAAGCAATGAACGAACGGTTTTCTAGGAATGACAATTTTAAGACTTTGTTTTCCTGGAGTATGTTTTAAAATCACTACTGAAGGTAAGACATACTACATTTTATTATAACTACAGATTTTAATTAACTACATAACTATACCTATTGTTCCAAAACATCGCTATCTTTAAAAAAAATTCCATTAGACCATTAGCCTATCGGTTATACTAATACAAACGGGACTGATTTGGGCCTTTTCACTTTCGATTTAGCTGAAATTTTTTTTTTTAATTTTTTCTAATATAATATATAAACTGAGAGGTAAATGAAATAAACAATGAAAAATAAATGTTGGCTCCATTCAATAATAAATTCTATTTTAATTTATTATGATTATATAATATAATATAATAAATATTATTAGAATAAAAGCAATAAACTATAAAATATAAGTACAATAAATAATAATATAATATAATTAAGAAATGTTGTAATAAGTAATATTATAATAAAATTATATTAAATTATTTTAATATTATAATATAATAATATCAAAAATTAACGTTGGTTTTATTTATTCGTTGGTTTTATTTATAATTTTTAATTAATTTTAATGACAAATTTTATTTAAACTTATAATGAATAATTTATATAATATAACAAATATTATTATAATAAATAGAAAAATTTTAATACAGTAAATAAAAATAAAATATTGGATTTAAAAAATATTATAATAAATTATAATTGGCTAAATAAATAATTCACAAAAAATAGCAATATAAATAAATTTAAAGAAAAAAAATTTTAATTTTCTTGTATTCTCCTACAAAACATATTTAAAAACTTTTTTCCACGATATAGGTCTTTTCACTTTCACTTTCGAATCGAAGGTGCGGAGGTCACTTTTTGTCAAAATTCATCCCGTTTGTAAAAGAATGATCCGTATCTCGCAATAAACCATTTTCCGCGTATTCTTTCAATTCTTGATATCTCTTATTCTCTAACTAGTTTATATACATTCTATATATTGAAATGCAGTAATATTATTTTATGAGATTAATTGAAAAATATTCAAGTTTTTAAAAAATTAGTTCGAAAATGTTTTTCAAAATATATCTTCGAGTACATTAAGTGTTCTCTGTAAAACAAATGAAATTTTGGATTTTAAGTTGAAATTAAATCTGTTCAGGTAAATTCTAAATGTAGTTTATATTAATTAATTTTTAATATTTTTTCTTCTTCTTGAGTTAGTGCTATTACGCACTTTTACTCTATAATGGCTGGGGGGCTTATCTCTACCTTACACTAGGCTTTAACTAGGCTAAAACAAAAACATATCACTTACTTGTCTTTTAGTTGATGACGAACCTTAAATAATAATATAATATGATTATTGTATGATTTTTAGATGAGAAATAAATGTCATTTTTTCTTAAAGTATTAATTTTATATGAGAACTCGATCAAAAAGTTATATGCCGCTGTCAATCACATATAAGAATGAGAATGGAAATCTTTTACTACGTAAAGATTAATTTCCAGTTAGTCTGCAAAATTATATGAGTATAATATAATTTATAAGAAGACTAACTGTGTCAAATTACTTTAAAAATTACAAAGTTTGACTTCTAGCAAAATCTTACCAACTAGTGATATCTGAATTTATAGTGAGTGTGTCAATCTGTTTAATACGTCTTAAAACATTAAATCTTTCCATCTATTGAAAAAAAAAACAACTTAATAAATAAATAGTCGATCCCCTGTTTCAGCTTCAAGCATTCACTTATGCTCTTTTCGACTGGTAAAAATATGGAGGTTCAATGGAGATTTAATTTTAGTGCAATTTTGATTTTCAACTGGTAAATCCTGAGCAAAATATATTACACTTGAGATTAATTTATAACACAATAGATATTTTGCCAGCGTAACATGATTACTCTTAAATTAGTAGCTTTTTTATATGATTTGACAAATGAAGTGTGATTTGATTCGATATATTTATTTGTGAAAAATATAAATGCCTATTAATAAAACTACAAAATTGTTAGATCACTCTTAAAATATACGATTGGGCAACAAAATTTGACATATCGAGAGTATATCTATGTTAAACATAGATTTATCAATCGAAAAAGCCATTGTAAAGTTGAAGGAAATGATAGATTTGTCAGTCTTGAAACTCTCCACGTATTTTGCCATATTTATATGTAAACTATTTTATTTAGGCAAAAAAAAAAGAATAAAAATTCTATATTAAGTATATAGAAAGTATTGTACGATGAAAAATATTTAATGTATTTACGCTTGGAAGCGAAAATATATTTATTGATAGTTGTCGACTGGCTGTTCTAACTTTATATGTCTAGTTATCAAGCAATGTTTGAATCGTACCTATTCTGCCATTTTTTGACTTACCATTTTTGACTTAACATTTTTGACTTGCCATTTTTGATTTACCATTTTTGACTTACCATTTTTGTTACCATATTTTCATAATTATTATACTAAAATAATAAAAACTTGCTTAAGTAATATTTTGAAAGTTTTTTAAAACGTTGAAGCCATTTAGTTAGTCAAATGTAAACAAATATTGAAAAATAGGTTGAAATTGTTGATCTATAAAATTCTTATCCATATAAACATAAGGCTTTTTCTAACTAATTGGTACAATAACCTTAACATTTCTATAAAATATGTATTTATATAATAATTGTTTGTTCCTTTAATTTGAATTGTGCAAAATACAAAGATTGAAATTTGACGTAGTAAGCCTTTAAGCGTGAATGCTTTTGGGTAGCTCAAGGTTGCTTCCAATCCAATCCAACACAAAACTATGTCACTCATACGACATGGGACAAATTTATGAGATGCAAACAGTTGCTTTAATTTATTATTTATTTAAAATTTTGCATTTGTTTAACTAGCATAACTTGTCGTTTTAAAAATAAGTTAAAAATCTAACAAAAATATTCCTCTTCCTAAGGATGTGGAAGATTTGGAAATGTGCTTTTGTCATTTAAAAAGGAAATAAAATGAAATTTTCTTGCAAAAATAAATGTTAAACACGAAAGTTATTTTTTCTGAACTTTAAAAATACATTATATAGAAAATATGACCGAAACAAAACACAGCTGAGCCCACAGAATATTTACATATTTATGAGGATAACTTATACTCTCAAACACTCTCGTTTGAGAGGTAAAATAAAATAAAAAAAAAAAAATAAAAATATTGCAAGTATCAGCAAAATTAAAAGTAAAAAGAAAATGTGAACAAAGTGAAAAAGAATTTTATGCTTGCACTCCACATATACTTTAAATAAAAATTTTATTGATTAAGGACGACGTATCCTTGCAATATCTGCACACAGAAAGCGAAAAGGTGCGGTAAAATATAACAATCGATAAGTAAATAAGACCGCTAAATGGCAATAAAGTGCGTAAATGTGAGAAATGCAAATGAATGCAAAAGTAAAATAAAAAATAAAAAATAAGAAAAAGAGCAAATAGAAAAGCAAAGAAAAAAAGGAACAACGGTGTATGTTCATATAATGAAGTGCAGAAGAAATCCTATAGGATATCGTATTTCTATAATTTGTGGGAAATTTTTTTTTTTCGTCGTTAATATAATATAGGAATTGTATATTTTTTTATGAGTGTGAATATAAGTCGTAGTGTTGTTGCAGTGGCGCCACTATGTTGCTTCTGGCACACATTTTAAATAAATACTAAA